TTGCGACACCATGAAACAAACGATAGCGTAAAATGAAACTATAGACGTTTTTATATCGTCATCCGATACATATCGTTATATCGAACAGCCCTAGCGGCCAACACATCAGGACGGTTAGCCCCGTGGGGTCCACCTCCACACTAAAGGTTTAGTGCTGCTCGAGCGAAGCGATTCTCCAGGACTTTTTCATTTCAAGAGTACAAATAAAATATTCACCGTTAACTTAACTGGCTGAAAGTCAGCTGTCACATTAAGGGCTGTGGTTGTGACCTTTCAATATGAAGCATCTTAAGGCCACTGTTATTGTGATTTGGCACTGTGTGAAAAAACCTGAATCGAAAATAGGGTTGAATAGATGACGGTCTGCACCTAGGCAGAGACCCTCAAACACCAATGTTGGGTTTTTGTACTGAACATGAACTACTGTATTATTGGGCTTAATGCACCCAGAGTGGACTGTAAAGCTCTGTGGGTGGTCTAACAGTCCACACTACCTGTTGAGAGCGGCGCCAAACTGACTGAGTCTTTCTCGTTCCCTACATGAGCTGATGGATCTTCCTCGGCAGGTTGATGAGCAGGTTTGGTGGTGCAGGAAGGATGTTTGTGATGAAAGGCGTCCTCTTCTCTGAGGTAACTGCAGCTTCTTCTTCTCTGTGCAGAAGTTTGGCAGTCTGCGCTCTGATGTCATTGAGCAGATGAGGTTCAAGCAGAGGTTAAAGGTCATCCAGTCCCTGGAGGACACTGCCAAGAGAAGTGTGGTGGGTGTTTTCACGAGCTTATACAGCGTGTTAATGAAGACATTGAGCTCACAGGTGTGTGTGTGTGTGTGCGTGTGCGTGCAGGTGAGAGCGATGATGACGGAGTCAGCCTTCAGTATTGAAGAGCTGGAGGAGCTCTACTGTCTGTTCAAGGTGAGTTCATGTTTGTTACACGGTTCCTGTGCTGACCTGATGTTCAGGTGTGAAATAAACCAAAAACCTTTTTTCACCAATTCTGTTAGAAAGTGTTTCAGCAAATAGGACGAAACCTCCTCATCGTCCTGCAGGCTGATCCAGAGCTGCTCAGCCTTTTACACTCTAGTCTTTCTGCTCCTGGGTGCTCTGAGTTTGCTCTGTGAGACAGCAAGCCTTCTCGGAGGGTCTTCCTCACTTGGCTGTATGCTGTGATGAAGGAAAGCACCCCTTCCCACAGCCTTTTGATGTTCTTGTTTCTACTTCTGGACCAAAGTGTTGATGTGTCCTTTCCCGGTGTTCTCGTTGTTCCTGTCTAACAGTAGCTTCCATCACGTCTGATTACTTATGAAGAAATGTAGGTGTAACCCGCGCCTGTTTATCAGACAGGAAGTGACCTTGTTTTTGTGTGACCCTGCAAGAGTCAGAACTTCATTTTTTCCTTTTTCAAATCTGTTCTGTGACGTAAACATTGCTCTACCTGTATGTTCAAGCATGTTACTGCCTCTAACCCCGCCTCCTTTTTTGTCCATTCTGCCGATCCAGTCCAAACACATGACCAGCTGTTACTGGGGTTCCAGCAGCTCTGCCGCTGAGCGTCACGATCCCAGCCTGCCGTACTTGGAGCAGTACCGCATCGACCTGCTTCAGTTCCGTCAGCTCTTCGTCTCGCTCGCTCCCTGGGTCTGCGGAGGGCATAACCCAACCCTGTCGGCCCGCCTCTTCAGGCTGCTGGACCAGAATCAGGATGGGCTAGTCAACTTTAAAGAGTTCATCACCGGACTGAGTGAGCCCAGATTACAGCCTCAGATTACATATTACATATGCAGATCATAGATTAGTGATCCAAACGACAGATTACAGATCTAGATTAGCACTTCAGAAAATAGATTACAGATCGACAATCCAAAGTACATATTATATATTACAGGTCAAGATTAGAGCTTCAGGTTGCAGAGCTCCACAGGTCTTGGTGTGTTTGTTTTGCAGGTGGGATGTATCACGGGGACATGACGGAAAAACTGAAGCTACTGTACAAGCTCCACCTACCTCCAGGTAACACAGCTCACCTGTACAGGTGAGTGTAACCCTGAATCATGAGATCAGCTCTTCCTTATTCTGCACTGATCCGGTTTTGGTCCTGATGAATTCTGTAACCCGCTGGCCGTGACGTCAGAGGTTCCAGCCTTTACACTGTCAGATTTTTGGAGCCAAACCCAGCGTGGTGGACCAGGTGTGAATGGGGTTGAAGTCGGGTTTTGGGTCTCTGTGGGGTCTCCTGGTTTTGAAGGGTGGTAAATTGAGAGCTGGTGAGAACTGAATGGATCAAAGACTGAACCACAGGTGGAGAACCTGCGACTCACCTGCTGCTTGTTTGTTTTAGCTCTGTGTCCAGAGGAGGCGGAGTCTGCTCTAGAGGCCACGCAGTTCTTCACCGAGGAGGAACCTCGAGGTACACACACACACACACACACACACACACATCTGTTGTCACTTCCTGTTAAAATGGAGTTCTTCCTCCCTGCTGTTCAGAGAGGATCCTGTGGTTGTCGGTAATCGTTGAGTCTGCATGAAGCTTAACTCGAACTGATCAATCTGCATGAACAAACCTTGGATTAACACACCTGAACATTTCACTCTGCTTCTCCTTCCTCTTTTCCTTCTTCCTCTTCCTGTGATGTTTCCTTCCAGAAGCTTCCTACTTCTCTGATCAGAATGCATTGCGGCAGCAGGAAGTGACACCAGGTTTGTGTCTGCTTGGTTTGAGGGTTAGGGATGTTACTCTGCTGCCAAGTTATTCTAATGTTTTTCTCGTGTTTTTGTGATGATGATCATAACATTAGCAGATAATTTGAAAATTTCTGGCTAAGCTATCAGGTGAATTCCTCAGCGTTAGCTAAGCTTAGAAGACCGTCAGCTCAGGATTGAATTTAACCTGGAAAATGAGGTCATGGTGACCTCATCCATCTTTAGACCGCCTGTTCCATTCTCACATTTAACCCCAAAGTTTGATAATGAGGATGATGATGATCTCTATCTGAACAGGTGAGGAGCCAAAAGATGGAGACAGTGAGGAGAAAAAAGGTAACTTGACCTCCCTGACTCGAGTCTTTAAGGAGGAGGAATCACTCTGAGGCTTGGCCCAATCGTTTGACCCCTGACCTTTGGTCTGTTTTAGAGGTGAAGGACTACAGGTACTACCTGAGGATGTGGGCCAAGGAGAAGGAGACCAAGAGAGAGACCATCAAAGACCTGCCGAGGATGAACCAGGTGAGAATGTGAGGTGTCACACCGTTTTTTACAGACACAAGTGTGACACGCAGGTAGCAAGGATGGTTCAAACCAGGTATCTAAGGGTGTGTTAAAGGCAGCGTGCACCTGGACAGGTCGCCACAGAGAGACTGATTAATTTTAATAAAATTAAGTAATTAGTGTTTTTTTTCTTAGTCCTGGTGGGGAGAGGAAGCCACAAACAAGCATACAAGTAAAATATCCTGTACAGCTGTGTGTCTGTTATTGTATATATTTATATATATATAT